ACTGACATCGTTTATTAGCTGACTATTTGAACATTATCTAGAAAGCTGAGTTTTAAAACACACACGTGCGTGCGCGCAAATTCTTATGAAAATAAAATTCTGTGATTCACTGATTACGTATATAGACGGCATCGAATGTTACTTTCTTCGACTCAGAAGAAACGAAGAGAAAGAGAGTAGCAGGATAGTCTGTAACCAAGGTGCCAACTGAAGACAACAACCAAATCGGGTGACGGTCACACACTCTTTCCATATCATAAACCTCACGATTTTTTAGCAGGCCTCTGCTTATATCATGAAGAGTGTTACTGCTCGTTAATTTCATAAATTTTAAACCAATATAAAAAGGGTTAGTTCTGCTGAGATTTTAAAAATCACTAACATGTGTGTGTGTTCTGACAAACAAAATAACTTACATTAAAAAAAAAAAAAAATGCAAGAAAATAATTAATGAAAAACAAATAGAAGAAAACAGATTTAACACAAGCAGCGCATAAAGAAGTTATTCACGTGATAGACAAGACGCGATAATTATTTGCCGTGTGAAACGAATCTGCTTCTAAACCATCCTAATTTGACAATGATTCGAAACAGTTTTTTCACTTCACATTTGGAAATTCAAACAACGAAAACCCCATTCTTAACAGTCGCATAAAAAGGAAAAGCTTTAAAAAAAATATTTCATTTCTTAAAATATTGGCATTTTGACGGTAGTTTGCTTTAGCTTAAAAGTCAGACAATATTTAAACTGCATACCTCCAAACACAGATACAATAATGTCCTTAGACTCAGGGCCGGTTGGTAATAACCCTTACCCAACCCCCGACAAGGGGAAGGAAGCCTGATTGGGGGCGCCAGGTAGTGCTTTGTAACTCTTGCTATCTTAACATTTGCTTTTTTTTTTTCTAAATGGTACTAAGCATAACTATTAGTATTGAAGGATGAAAAATTTATCACGGATTTTGAGGATATTCCGTGTTTTTTTTTCTTTTTCGTCCACATCCGGAAATTTGTTTGGCTTATGTTAAATTTCGAAAAAGAATTATATAAAATTCTCTATTCTTTATCCATTATCTAGCATTTGTTACAATGATTCAATTTTTTAACAAAAAAAGTTGATGTCAAAAATTGCCGCAAAAAAAAAAAAAATTGTTGATTTAAGATGGAATGATCTATTATAACATGTCTCTAATTTGTATTTAGATACATTGTATTTATTTTCAATTTTCTAGTTGAATTGTTCACCTATATTGCATATGATCCATTATTGTACCTAATTAGGTTATAATATAATTTGTATTTTATGTGGATACCACCTTATGAAAATTGAGATGGACTAGAGTAGTGACCCCATATTATTAATATGTTACTATTAAAGGATGGAAAATTTTCATGAATTTTGACATTATTCTGGGGCCTTTTATTTTTTGTCAAATCTCTGAATTTGTTTTGCTCTCTAAAAACATCACTAGATAAAATTCACTATTTTTTATTCATAATGTTGGATGTGTGAAAATTATTCAAATTTTTAACAAGAACAATCTCAAGATGATGTTAAAAAATGCTACAAGATGAAATGATCTATTATGACATGTCTCTAATTTGTATCTAGATACATTGTATTTATTTTCAATTTTTCTATTTGAATTGTTCTCCTATATTGCATAAAATCCATTATTGTACATAATTAGGTTACAATAAAATTTGTATTTTATATGAATACTACCTTATGAAAATTGACATGTAGTTAAGTGAGAGACACCGTGTCATCGATTCGGGAGGAGGACCTGTATCATAGATTGTGAGTTGGGGGCGGGGGATGCACGAGACCCTTGTACCGGCACTACAGGCACTGTTTTATGTATTCTGTTCAAAGATAGATATATCTATCTGATTTATTTTACATGTTAAAATGTACTTTACACAACAAAGACTCGTTTTCCAAAAGGTCTTTTCAGATAGAAATCGAGTCAGTCTTGTTACTAAATAACAGTTTTAGAATATACTTAAAAAATGTATTATTTAAACATTCAAAAAAAGGGTGTGTATTTTAAAAGTTAACATTCCTCTAACTAAATACGATATAACTTCAATTCTTTAGTCTATGTATGCATTTTGACTGGTCTTTTTATTTTATGCAGAAGAGTAATTATTTTAAAACTAAACTGCACAAAGACTTCGGATACTCTTGTCTGTGTGTATGTAGTTAGTTGCGCGCATGCGCGCTATCTTAAAACTCTAACCGCGTCTCTTAAAAGCAGCAACCAGGTTCGCACGATACTAGGAGAGGCCATTTCAACAAAAAGGGGCTTGTTTAAAAAATGTTTTTCTAAATATAAAAAACGGAGATAAGCTGAGAAGACAGGAAATTCGTGAATATTATTCAAATAAATTTGTTCGTTATTTAAGTTTGTTTTTACAATTTGGATGGTTCTTTTTTTTTCTTTTTTTTTTGGCTTGTTTTGTTTTTAACTTTTTATTTTGAAAGTCAGTTGACTGT